ACTGCCCCAAGTACATTCCACTATGCAACTTTAATTGTGGATTCTTGTGATGACCATAATACCCTATCATACATCGCTTCTAAATTATTCAGTTCCTCATCTGTTTCAGTGCAGTATACACAATTTCTCCAGTTTTTCTCAATCTCACCCCCACCCTAAGATGTTAACATTCTTACAATTAAAGTTCATGAGATGATACATGGATTAAAAATATCCCTATAATAGACTATGTTGTTAACAGTTACTTTATTGATAAACTTAAAAATAACTAGCTCTGTCAATGTAACTACTTGAGAAGTGTCAAAGCACTAAAAGAGATATATTGTCCAGAGGGTTAATTGATCGATCATTTAGCATTAGATGCCCACTGCTGCAAAATATCCTGATAAGGATCTTATAGATTTGTACCATTATATAGCACTACAAGATATGTGACCAGAACCCTTTTATTAGTGTAATGTTGTTGTTGCTGTTGTGTGCCATCAAGTAGCAACAGCTCAGAACTGAGCCTCTAAGTCAGTTTTCAGAGGCAGTAGCCTATTTTTTCCTTCAGAGAAGCTCATGGATTTGAACTGTGTGCCTTTGGATTGGCAATGCAACTTTCTATGCCTAGGTCTCCTTTAGCAGTATAATGCAAGGTAATTATTTCAAGAAAAACTATAATGACGACATTTAATACTTTTTTAAAATGTCTGAATTCATATGTAAAAAATAAGTTAAATAAATGTTATATTTGAACTTTGCTTATCAAATGCATTTAACATCTTTTTCTTTAGATCTAAAGAAATCTCAAAGAGACATATTTGACTTTGACTACATTTTATTACACATATTTTTACCCCAATAGGAGTATACTTCAACACTCTTACTCAATGGTTATGAGACTCTGGAAGATTTGAAAGAAATAAAAGAGAGTCATCTTATTGAACTAAACATTGAAAACCCAGAAGACAGAATGAGGTTACTGTCAGCTGCTGCAAATCTCGTCGATGATGACAGTAAGTATAATAATCTACTTTTTTCCCCAAACTGATTATCTTGGATTGTTGTTTTTGTCGTTGTTAAGTGCCATCGAGTCGTACACAACTCATAGTGACCCTAAAAGTAACAACTGCAACATGCAAGTGACAAAGGCCGTCTTCTACTTGCTTCATAAAGGGAAACTGTCCCCAACAATAATATCCATAGCACCATACAAATAACTACATGATCAGGCAGGCTACCCCACATGCTTCTATACCCATTTCTAGAAATCATTGGGTCCAATGTTCATTGGAACTTGAATCATAGACTTTACTCAATTTTGTGGGGTTTATTAAGGAAATGGGTTATGGAGTAGGGGAAGCAAAGAGTATCACACAATGAAAGTCTAGATTTAGTCCAGCAAGCCCCCAGCAGATTAACAAGACACAGTTCCTCAATTAGTGAAAATTCCAGGGTCAGTTTTGTTGTTGTTGTTGTTGCTTTGTGTTGTCAAGTTGTCTGCGACTCATAGTGACCTTATGTACAACAGCCCTAAATCCTGCCAATCTCACTGTCTCCAACACACCTACTTCCATTACCCTAGTCACTGAGTCAACTCATCTCATCGAGGGTCTTTCTCTCCTGCACTGTCCCTCCACCCTCCCAAGCATGATGTCTTCTTCAAGGACCAGTCCCTCCTGCAGCATTTCCAAAGTATGTCAGATGAAGCTTCAGAATCCTTGTCTCCAAGGAGCAGCCTGGTATAACCCTTTCCAAAAAGCAATACAAACAAACCTCTAGTTTCTCCAATAATTCAGCAACCTCTGTCTCAGAGCAGTTACAAGTCAGTTTTTCCTTCAAACACTCAACTAGCAAAACTTTTAACTGTGGCTGCATCTCCAGGTTCCTCTCGTTACCCTTTGCCACACTCTTCACAGCAGTGCCACAATCTCTTTACCCTTCTCTACCACTGTCTTTCACAATGTAGAACAGAAAGTGCTCTCTTATATTGGTTCCACATCTACTGATAATTTGCCAGACAATGTGCTCACTATGAAGGTAGCTGGAAATCGTGCCCCCAACAGGGGCAAACATCATGTGTAGAAAAGTTAATTTTCAAGGTTTCTGATAACACAACTGTAAACAACAATATCTGTAAAAACAAAGCCTCAGTTTTATTTAGTGATAATTATATAAAGGATTATTCCCCACTAAAATAAGTATTTTCATATCAATTTTGAAACACTAATTTTGATCAAATCTATAATTAGGCAGAGAAATCTGTTCTCTTAGGAAAGCAAAGGACTATTTCTGGTAACTTATTTTGACTTTACAAAGTAATTAATTTACAATAAAGTGGATGCCTGCCTTACAAAAGACTGAGGAGTCACCAAATATTTGGTGACAGCATGCGCCATTACTGAGAGACGTCATACATGCCTTCTCTGAAAAAGCAAAAAGCCTGAGTCTGAATTACATATCTTCTCTCAACACAGGAAAATTCAATCCATTATCATGTAGTCACTTCTTGTATATATGTTTGTAGTAATCTCCTAAAATCTTATAATAGCTTGCAAGAATATTCAGCACTTACGTTATTAAATGAGATGAATCTCTGTATTTGTAAGTATAAGCTGAAGATGGAATAGTATATGTATATATTCACTATGGCAGTATACTGACTAGGCCAACTGGATTTGTAAAGATAGGACGGCTTTAATTTTCACAAAGTCACAACTCAAATACTCTTCTAACTAAAGGTAATCAGGCCCTAAAACCCTCAGAAAAAAATATTATCCTTCTGCAGGAAGTATTTTATGTTAAAAAGAGATTGGCTAATTTTAAAAGTGAGATCATCTGATCTTTTCTCTCAAATAAAGTAGTAAACACAATTAGTAACTATCTTGTTTAAACATATTTTATGAATGAAAATTTAGGCCAAGTACTTTGTATTTATCATGATTTTAATATACACCACAGTCTGTAAGATAGATGTAACTGTCTAATTTTTATGATGACAAGTTTATAAATAACTTGCACAAACTCACCGGATTAGTGAATTCCATAGCATAGATTTCAACTGAGCATTAATGATTCCATGCGATACTTCCTAACACAACTCCAGCACAATCTGTAAATGAGGAGTACAGCCATACTATGAATCTAGGACTTGTGTCTGTTCATTCTTGGGTTTTCCCATATCCTCTCTCCTCAGATCCACAAAATGGACATGTTGTTGTTGTTATGTGCCGTCGAGTCGTTTCCGACTCATGCGACCCTATGCACAACAGCCCTAAACCCTGCTCTATCCTGCGCCAACCGCACTGCCTCTGACACACCTATCCCGATTACCCCAGTCACTGAATCGATCC